TTAAAATAAATTGCTAAATGAAAATATTTATACGAAATTTTACGTAGCACTTATAGATTAATTAGATATTTACTAAATATACTGGATTTCTTAGATTTATGCATTTTGAAAAATTTTTTTTTTGTACTAATATGTGTGGAATAAGTAAAACTCAGTTCCAAAACACACTATAGTCGGTCAGCCTTACCGGTAAATGAGCAGACTTTGGGACGAATACCTACTTTGTCAATTTGAACGAATACTTTTGTGCTAAAAATGCAATGCATAATTACGGCTGGAAAAAATTTTTTTCAGCAAAAATGTGTCCACTAGAGTTAGAAAAAAAAACCCATTTAATATAAAGAGTCAAAGCGTTAAAAAAAAATTGGTTTACATGCTTTTGAATACTTCATTATAAAAATAAATGTATTGAACGTATTGGATTTTTCTCAAAGAAAACATTTTTTTTTCTTACTATTTTATTGTAAATAGTTTTGAATGAAAATTTTCATGACTAACGAAAGCACTTTATTCAGGAAATAATTTTTAAATGGTTAAAGTTCCACAAAATGACTTTGCACTAGTCTGTAAACAAGTTACATGCAAGAATTTCGAAGCTTAGCTTATAGCAACATTTTGTTCATAAAATATGTATATTATCTTATAGGATTTATTAAGGTACATTTTTAACGTTAACTGGAAGATAAATTGTTGAGTACAGGATTACCAGATATGCCTATACTTAAGATGGGGTAAAATTAAATCTGACGATTTTTTTTTTTTTTCATATGATTTGTGAGCAAAGCAGCATTGCAGTAAAATACATAGAATACCCTAATATCAATTTGTTGTTTTAAACAATGGCATCTTACTTTGAACTAAATAAAAAAGCAAACGGTTATTATTTGGAATTATTAATATAAATTATCACTTATTGCGATGAATATTGGAATGATTTTCCTTGTATCATAACGTAATGTATGACTTCTTTGATACGTTTATTAAAATTATTTGTATGTCAGTTACTTTTTTTCATAATCAAACGGAATTTACATTTTTGGAAACGAAGGTACATTTTTTTTCTGGATGAAGTGCATTTTTAGCTGAAAAGCCTTTTTTATTTACATTACAGTAACAACAATTTTTTTTCTGACAGATAAGTGTGAAATAAGTACATTTTATGTACTAAAATTTGTTGTAAAATATGTGATAAAAAGTATTTTAGGACTGTTTCAAATACTTTGACTATTTTTTTTCCTCAATTATTTCTTCAAACCGTAATGCATTGTTATTAATGAAAAAATTATTTTTAATTATTGTTATAAGCAGTTTTTATAGAAATTTTTTTTAGTATAATTACGTTATATTTTTAGCAAACTGGCATTAATTAATTTATTGAAAATTTATGGTTGCAAAGAAATTTTATGACATATTCAACTACTCGAGAGTACGAAATGGCCCTATTTCGGGGCCAAGAGGTGATTATTTGACTCGATGGAAGACATTTGTACCGTTAAAAACTAAAATTAAAAATCGTCAAAATAAGGTACATGAGTGGCGTGTCAATACGATAGCATTGTTATTAAAGCTCCATGTATCACTGAAAGCAGAATTTTTAAACAAAGACGGTAAAGATAGATATTGCGAATACTTAAAAACAATTCGATGCGTAGTTTTAAATGATTTGGATTACAAAATATCGCTGTTTTGTGCAAAGACCCATACCTAAAGGGATTTACAAAAAAATAAAATATACGTTTTTTTGGATTTTGATTGTAGGTGTTTTGGATTTTTTTTATTTTAAAGGGGCACAACTTTGTAATCATAATTTACCATTTTTCACAGTCGTTCTAGAACTGATAAAAAAAAATGTTTTAAGGCGCGAGAGCCTTTAAGATATAATATTTCTGTACTTTGATGACAATTTTTTTTCAAACCTAGATGTAATAAATATTGTTCGATGAACGAGCCTGTATTATTATTCATTAATCAACTAATATTCATGATAAAAGTTTTTTTATGTAATGGTTATACTTCAAAAACGAGACTCATGTAGACATAATAAAATAAATATATTTTAGTATTCACGTGACAAAGTAAATATAAGAAATGTACGTCGAAAATAGAATATGAAATAATGATCCATATAGGGATTAAATATTACATCAAAATATCGTACCTTTATTGATTATTGATATAAACATTACACTATATATTGCAAGCATGTGTGTATACATAATTATATAAATTTTTCTTCTGTTTTTTTTTATGTTTCATAGTTTCATATAAATTACGTATTGTAATCCTCCTTTGTTTGTCAAAGCTAATACACTCTTTGTGCAATAAAATTTTAGGAATAAAAATACTCTTCATCAATGTAGTTATAAACATAGGTACACGTTATTTATGGCATATACACTTCTAAGGTAAGATTTCTCAAAAATTTTCATGTCCATTCATGTCCCAAACATCATACATTTACAGTAGAGTCGGTATAAGTAAAATATTGTGGTAAAAAAACTTTTGGAGAAATTTCGCCAAAAACTAAGTGTATGTTTAATGTACATATATATAACGCTCCTTCATCCGATAACTAAGCATACAATGATTTTTCATTTGCGACCGAAATTACAGGTAATGTAATTTCTCTTTTTCATGATGGACCTCCACTGTTTATAATCGTCTCAACAAGGCACGTTTGAAATATTTTATTCGTTATATCCGCGCAGTCTCGGTGGCAGACAAGTGAATCTTACTTTTGTGTATTATGAGTAAGAAAAAAAAAAAAAAAAAAAATGTCATACGCCATATACCCACTTAAAATCTACGAATTGGAATTTCATTTTATTTACAATCTTCTCTTACTTTAACACGTAGTGTATAAATTATTGTTTGGTCATGTAATTTATTTTCACAAGTATGAAAGATCTGTTTGTCTCTTTATGCTTATTAGTCAGGAAGAACATAAAATTATTATTCATAAATGTTTGTAAAATTTAATTCTTTAAGGATTTTAGTGTCACACGTTGATTATTGTATACATACATAATAGCGTGTTGTTAAAGTACATGAGGATACATTTTTTGAGGTGAGGTTATTTCGGCATCAAACATATTTTTTAATGATTTGACATGCCAAGGAAAAACTTTCATTTCTCGATAAATTTAATAAACAATCAATTTTCTCAACAATAAATTATAAAAAATACAAAGTGATAAAAAAAGCTCTCATTTCTAAACTAAGAGCCTTCAGCTCATCATCCGGAATCCGGGTCCTAATGGATAATTTTGTCTTATTTCATTATTTCAGAGAAAACAAACAACCCCTTAAATCTTTACTTTTCGCTCAACGGAATCAAAGAGTCAATGTGTCGATGTAGAAAAATATAATATAGTAAAAATTCACTTTAGCCAAAAAATCATCACAGACAAATCTCTCTTACATTTTTCTCGCCACATCTCTTCCCGAAAACTATACGACGTAGATTTTTAAAAAAGTTTCCCAGTAGTCGGTTAACGATTATACAATTTTATTGTATTTATAGAAATACAGTTAAGCTATATAAATATTATAAATATATGCTTATGTATTAGTGGCCTTAATGTTTTGTCAACGCAAGTCTATCGTCTCTCTGCTTTTACAAATCGGGGAAGCGAAGCCTAGCTTGGTTAAGAGATTCTCAATGGTACAAAAGTACTTGTAGCCCATTTCAACATTTTTGTTTTTACAGGAATTCGTTTTTCAACCCAAGCGTATCAACTTTCTTGTGATTAAAAATAATCATCATGTACCAGCTGAGGTGGATATTCCTCTGTAAAACATTTTTTAATGATTCTCAACTTTTTAAATTATTTGGATGCTTTGAATTGAAGTTTAAAAAAGTAACATGTTGATCCGAACGGGTTGAGATGACACAGGTAACGAGTTTTTCATTTCAAAAATAAAAATTTTTAACGAGACTAAACGAAACTATGCTCAATGTCAGAGGCAATTTTGTACATCACATTCCCCAAGGGTTACTTTATATTGTAATAAACCATAATTTTTACCATTGTTTTTGGTCCATGCCATAAAAAGCTTTTTCACAGAGTTAAGCTCTTTAGTTTCAACCGTTTTACTTTATTATTTTTTTTTTGTACAAAAAGGTCCCCGACTTTCCTTTCACAAATTTATGGTTGCAAAGAAATTTTATGACATATTCAACTACTCGAGAGTACGAAATGGCCCTATTTCGGGGCCAAGAGGTGATTATTTGACTCGATGGAAGACATTTGTACCGTTAAAAACTAAAATTAAAAATCGTCAAAATAAGGTACATGAGTGGCGTGTCAATACGATAGCATTGTTATTAAAGCTCCATGTATCACTGAAAGCAGAATTTTTAAACAAAGACGGTAAAGATAGATATTGCGAATACTTAAAAACAATTCGATGCGTAGTTTTAAATGATTTGGATTACAAAATATCGCTGTTTTGTGCAAAGACCCATACCTAAAGGGATTTACAAAAAAATAAAATATACGTTTTTTTGGATTTTGATTGTAGGTGTTTTGGATTTTTTTTATTTTAAAGGGGCACAACTTTGTAATCATAATTTACCATTTTTCACAGTCGTTCTAGAACTGATAAAAAAAAATGTTTTAAGGCGCGAGAGCCTTTAAGATATAATATTTCTGTACTTTGATGACAATTTTTTTTCAAACCTAGATGTAATAAATATTGTTCGATGAACGAGCCTGTATTATTATTCATTAATCAACTAATATTCATGATAAAAGTTTTTTTATGTAATGGTTATACTTCAAAAACGAGACTCATGTAGACATAATAAAATAAATATATTTTAGTATTCACGTGACAAAGTAAATATAAGAAATGTACGTCGAAAATAGAATATGAAATAATGATCCATATAGGGATTAAATATTACATCAAAATATCGTACCTTTATTGATTATTGATATAAACATTACACTATATATTGCAAGCATGTGTGTATACATAATTATATAAANGTTCATAGCTTCAAGTACGCAAATTGTGAAAAATTGGTAAAAATCTGTACTCCTTGCATTGTTTCCACTAAAAAAAAAAAAAAAACAACTATCGTGACTATGTTGCAACACTGCAAATATGTTGACTTGTAGTTCAACGGTACAAATTTATTAACTTATCAAACGAAAGTAAATCATGTCTGTACATTATTAAACTGTACGGAATGGTGTTAACTTAAAGGGCGCGTACGTAAAAAATACTATTACTTCAACTAATTAGTAATGTAAGTTCGTAAGACTGAGTCAACAAATGAAAAAAAATAAATAAATAAAAAAATTATTAGGTACTATTAGTTCTATTTCGACTTTTTTAAAAAGAAATTTTTTTTTCCCCCTTCAGTTTAATTAAAAAATGCATGCGAGCATTGAATTTTCATATTTGGTATTGACTAAGAACCGATTTGTCAAGATAAACCTTTGCAGTCTTTTCGGATCACTATGTGTATCACTTGAAAATTTTTGTTTATCTGTTTGTAGCAGAAAATAAGCTCTGTTTTTAAAAGTTAAAAAATATCGTGTCCGCAAAATTTATGGGCAAGGCACACGCGTCTCGGAGTTATATGCATTGATAATGACGTACACTCGCCGTGACTTGATTCGCAAATCACAAAGTTTCAGTTCTTGAATAGTTTTATAAAAAATAAAAAATAGTTTTGACATTGTTTAGTAGTTGTTAATATGATAGTCGTTTATAGTCATATTTTTGTTTTATGCTTATGATTATTCCTCGTGTTTCAATACGATGAATAATTTCAATAATTAAATCTTAGCGTTTTGCCCACAGCGAGTGTACATCTTCATATACGGATAAGTTCCATTCCTATTATGCAAACGCAAATTCGTTGACAAGTAACATAAGAACTTAAGGAAAAAATAAAATTTTATAATACTGCACCTACAACTTTTATACACATGTACATTCGCACTAGACTAAATCAAAGTTGCATTCGTTTTTGAAAAAAAAACCTTGGCATACTTTATAAACCTTAATAGAAACCTTACAGTTCGACCACTAGGAAGAGGGGTTCTGTATACATTAATAGGTCCCCTCGGTAACTTGGCGTTACTTTACGTTTTTTGGATTGCTAATCACGAATTTCTTGGTTACCTCACCGAAAAGTTGTGAGTTATTTAATTATCAATAATTTAATATGGAAAAATGAGGTAATATTGCACGTTATTAAAAGTCTCAATACCTGTGGAGAAAAGTTTTTAATGCGATAATGATGATATTGTAAAAAATCCCGTTTACAATTTATCCAATTTGCGTTAATTTTAATCGCACGCGGCTCGCCTGTACTGGCGTATATCGCGCACACACGTCACGGGTGGCTTGTTCTTTGTATTTTATGACAACAATAACAACTTATTTGTAAATAGAAATTATGAAAAAAAAGTATGTTTTACATGTAATTTTTTTCCGTGAAATCGATTGGTGCTATCAAATTTGGCCTATAATGACCACAAACGGTAAAATCTCTCAAAATTAACTAATTTTTCTATAAAACTGTTAATAACTTACAACTTTTCGGCCTAATCAAGAAATTCGTGATCAGCAATCCAAAAAACATAAAGTAACATCAAGTTGCCGAGGAGATTTCTTAATGTATACAAAACCCTCCCGAGGCGGTCGGACTATTATGAAAATTTGTTTGCGTGTAAACATGTTTTATACACGAGATTTACTTTTTTTTTTTTGTGCAACAGATTGGTACCGAATTTCTTTTTTTTAAAATCTAGTTAACTTTACAATAATTAATATCAAACTCATTGAATACATCACTAATATCGTGAGGAAAATTCGATCAATAACGTTTTTATAAATTTTTCAAAATAATAATAAAGAGTAGAGGTAAAATTTACTCATAGAGATAAACGGAAGAAAGGTGAAATCGTACGAGAATAAAACAACCTTTACGACTTGGTTAACTTGATGCGATTTGCAGCAACTGCTGCTAGGCATGCCAATGCTTCGAGATCTGGCGATGTGCACCATGCTAGAATTTTTTAAATCATCATTGTAAGTATTTACACAATCGTAATTAAAAACAGAAAAAAAAATTCAGGTAACAAATGTTGCTTACCTTTGGGTTCTTGCTCCGCGTTAACAGTAGACGAGCCGCCTTGCACCGTGTTCCTCGTTATACTATTTTTTCGTGCTTTTCTCTTTTGACTGCCGACCAGCATGGCCTTATCCGTTTCCTTTTGCTGATTGGATTTTCGCGCGTTCTCTTCGGCCGAGCTGTTGTACTGGAGCCGTTTTAACGAGCCTCCAACTTTCTGGGTGATTTTTTTCTTTTTGGTTTGCTGCTGCTTTTTCATTGCCTGGAATTCTTCCAAGCTCAGGGACGGCAATGCCTCGATCTTCTCTTCGAGATTGAAGTCTCTGTGGCAATTGAAATATTAAATTTACACTTTTGCTCGATGGCTCTGCGTCATATGAGTGTTTAAAGCTTACTCTGCCTTAAACCTCTTGCGCGAGGTCCAAGAAGTATGCCCTTCCGCCCCTTCGGTCTCGGTGTCCTCTGGTTTCGACGCCTCCAAATTACCTTCAGCCCTGAAATTCAATTTTTTTACGTGAAGTTCCCCACAAAAAAGATATCGTTTAGTTCATAAAACACAGTAATGATAGCCGTACCCTTCGACAAGGTGCTCCAAATCGCCACGGGAACTCGTACCCTCGCTGCTCAATGAATCTGTCTTTTCGCTGACGTTCGACGAAATGGAGTGTTGATCGAAACTAAAAATGCAAATGAGTTTAAGCACGAGATGATCAAAATGACCTTTACACGCCAAACTATTCGTCGTAATCGTACCTCGCGTAGCCAGAGGTTCGACGCTTCTTCGATTGGGCAACCAGCGGGTCTACAAAAAATTTCTGGTAGCGCAGGCCCTTGCAGATCCTCTCACTTTGAAAACTGGCATCTTCGATGTAAGTCTGCGTTACGTCGCTATCGTCCATTGCGTTCTAAACTCGCGAGGGAGGGAAGGAAATCAAAAGACAATAAGAATTATCGTAATGACAAAGAAAAAGGTCAATATGTTAAACCCAAGTACCGAGAGGTGCTTGCTCTCGTTGTTGTTGTTGTTATTGTTGTTGCTACGGTCGGACTCTACCCTGCTCTTCCTACCACCGAACAAGTCGGCCTTGCAATCCTCCTTGGACCCGGGCGAGACCGTCACTACCGTGTAACGTTTCTTTGGCGGTTTCAGTACTTCGGGATTGGCTTCGTTAGTCACGAGACGGCTGCTGGAGTTGAAATGTTGCGTGGCAATTTTCTGCGGCGTGAACAGCGAGCTCAGCCCACCTATCTGAGATTCGTCGGCCAGTTTCCCCGGTTGTATGGAATCCTCCTCCAACCTGGCGAAATCCGACTCACCAGTGGCCGTTTTATACTCCAGCTGGGCCGCGTCCGTTTTTTTATTCGTTGGCCTCGTGTTTAACGTGCGAAGCGGAGGGGCCGGCAATTTGTACCATTTGAAGTCGGGGTTGGCATTCAAAAATGCATCCTTGTACTGCAAGGACATAGATACATTGTGAAAAATATTACAAGCAACGACGGCGATCGTTAAAAATACCACGAAAAACACAAGCCCAAAATCATTTACTGTTGTACGTCTTTCGGTATATACTTGTAGATACCGTAGAAGAAAGCCTTTATAAAAGCTTGCGTTCACGAGCAAAGCGTGTATTTTTACAGATGTAATTAACAGTCTTATCTACAAACAGATAAAACAACAAAATAAGGCAGGCTCTGCGTACACGGCACATTCCACGCTAAAAGTGTATTCTTGTGGCGACAGGAAACTTGACGAGTTTTCAAATTCCCGAACGATAAAGTTGAATTACTTGCCTCCTGGGCTAGATTTGTGTAGGCTTTTTTCTGCTCGTTGGACAGCATGGCCCACCACTCGCCGAGTACCCTCGTGACCGCGCGGTTCTCCAAGTGCGGAAACCCAGAGCGCACCGAGGCCCTGTGCCTCTTGCAGAATATGAGGAAGGCGTTCATCGGCCTCCTGGCGTGGTGAGCCGGCTCCTGGCCGTCATCCTCGTCCTGAAAAGGGCACGTTCGATTTGCAAAAACAATTTCACCCTTGGCAGTACTTATTCGCACATGTACTTATTCTACCAACAATACAAACTATATGAAAAGCATTTACCAAAAACTACGGGTGGGTGATAGAAAAGTGATACATGTGTAGTTGCTGGAATTTAGAATCATGAAATAAAATGACAATGTTTCAATGTATAAATATGAGCCGTGAATCATCCGCTGGATAATGAGGGAGTTAATAATAAGTACGTGCTTGAAAAAGATCAAGCCAAGCAAACGACGAGTGAAAAATCAGTACTAAATAGCTAACTTTGTCCACATTGAAAATTGTCCGTTTGGTTCGATTGTTTGTGAATTGAGTTGGTTAGCCGTTGGCGCAACTGATGGTCGTCCACTGGCACACGGAGAAGAGCTGGCTGGCGCAAACAACACGCCTAATTAATAAACTTGTACACGCCTAATCAATAAACTCAAAAGAGATGTAGGTAGAGAGAGAGAGAGAGAGAGAGAGGGAGAAAGCGTTTTATGAGCCAAAGCTTTATCAGGAAGAAATAGTACCTAGACACTATCGGGGCTCGCGGCGCTGCGTGGAAAAAGAGAAACGGGAAAAAACTGTTTCCCAACGAAAACTGTTTCCCGTCTCCGATGATTTTCTCTCGGCGCGCCATATGCTCTTCTTCTGCTGTACAAAGTACCGATGCCCGACGTTCGTTTCTAGAATAAAGTAATCGCCAAATGCACCGGCTACGAGCATAAGTGAAAAAAATATGACTTGCACAACGTTGGGGCTACGGAGAGAGCTGTTATATACACGTAAAGCGTCAACTCGGCAGCACAGTCGATCGTCGCGGTTCTGCGAAAAAATGTTCTATTAAAATCATCATCTCTCTCTTACTCTTATCCAAGCGCTTGCACGTTTTGAACCGTCAAGTAACTGGAGAAAAGTACACGAAACAATTCTCGGGTGAAAACGAACGAAAAGTCCGTTACTCCGTACCGTGTGTGTTTTGATACATTTCTATTTTTTTTTTTTTTTTTTCAACGAAAAAATTTAACGATCGGGACTTGGAAAAAAACCAATAATAACGGATGACGCAGAGTGACTCCTGGTTTAAAATAAAATGTTATGATCTACAAGGTATATCCATCTACAAATACGTGTTAATCTACTCTCTAATGAAATCTAATAATTTCAATGACGGCCAATGGAATATATTATTGAAATCATTGAAAAATGCCATTTGCGGTGTACGTTGCAACAACTCGAGTAAAAAAAAAAANTGAAATTCGGCATTGAATGACATTTATTCCTGTACTAGAAATATTCACTTTCTGAGTTGGTAGCGTTTTCCATCGGAACTGCATCATCGATTCCATAAGTTTGACGAGTAAAAAAAAAAACAAAAAAAAAAAAAACAAAAAAAAAAGACACAAGGGGATGACAAACAAAGAGAGACCATTTTGACGTATGCTTCAAAAGAGCCGTGAATAGAGATGCGAAGAAGAGAACTGTAAGGGAGGTGGCGTGGGGAGAAATTGCATGACAGAGTACACCAAGATAAAATAGTAGTGTACTTAGTAACAATTGGGAGGTTTTAAAAAAAAGCAACCATTAGGGGAATGGGCATAATGGCCTTACGGACATGGCATCCAATCACACGAATGTTATTTAGTTTTCGAAGCGTCATCGCGATGTATGACTTTTTTTTGCGGGCACTCGTCTCGAGTGTATATGTGAGAGTGTAGTCGACACACTAGCTCTCTGACAGCTGTTTTTCCTCTACGCGATCGGCACGGCCGAGCTTGTACACATGGCCAAACATAAGAGAAAAGTCTCCTCGCCGAGGATATGCTAAAGGTGACACGAGGGACGAGGACAACTCGAACCCGGGCATGTGACAAAAGAACAAAGCCATTTAATTCCTCCCTGTGCTCCCATTCTCCCTTTCCGGGGTGTACGTGTGTTATTGTTACATGCTTATGATGTATATGAACTCTGAATGATGGATGACCTTGCAAGAGCGATAATTGAAATAAGGTCTTTTTCCTCCAGCTTCACCATAAAATGTACCCGTAACTTGATACTTTTACGTGCAAAGAGACATTATATTCTTGGGCAATTAAAGCCATCGTTGAAAATTGCGCCTTGGATGTAAACAAAATCGTGCTCGATATGCTGTCAAAAAAGAAAAAAAAAAAAAAAAAAAAAAAAAAGAAAAAAAAAAAAAAAAAAAAAAAAAAAAAAAAAAAAAAAAAGAAAGAAAGAAAGAAAGAAAGAAAGAAAGCTAGTAAAAAACATGAAAGAGAAAAAATGTCATCTGGTGCCGAGGGAGCAGCGGGTTTTAGAGAGACACGCGATTAAACAAGACAAAAGCAACAATCCGTATCCGGCAAGTAAATACGCTAATACACTCACTTTTTGCTGATGCTCGTTGGCAGCCATATTCCGTCCGTACTGACTGTGTGCAATATATATCTTTGTGCTTCACTGCAGACCACGGGTTATTTATTTATCTCTTTTATTTATTAAATACGTACACACGCATACCCACACTTTTTATCCACAAGTGTGACTTTTCGTGACTCTCATCCAACCAACGTGTATACACATGTATGCATACGTGTGCGCACCCACCTCACTTGGCCCGAGCTATGGTTGAGGTTGACTGCTCCGAAACTCCGAAGCTCGCTCTCTCTCGCTGCGCCCTGCAAACAAAAGTCGGAAATCTTACCGACGCGCTATATCTATATATACGTACGGTTAGCTTCAAAGTATAGTGACTGTATAATACACCGAGAGAGAGCAGACAAAAATGTAGCCGCCATGGGTAAGAGAGAGGGGCTGAAATCTTCAAGTGACTGGCAAACTTGCGGGAGATTCAAACACGCGAAAAATCCTATCAAAAAATACGTGAAAATTACACAATCCATTATATAAATGATTCATTATTAATCAGATTGAACTAACCTATAGTGTCAGAATACTTTGTTGACCTTTTTTTTTTATGAAAATTATAGACGTGAAGTACTCATTACTGAAAAGTCAACAAAAATCTCGTATTTTTTAGTATCGAAAATGACTTACCAGCGACATTTTATAATACAATACAGTGTTGCTATTTTAACGTTTGTAGATAAATTCAGTTCCAATTTATCAATAGAACAACTTCCGAATATTGTAAGATATACCTCATAGATGGGTGCAGTAGTGCATTGTGGTATACAAATTTGTTACCCCATAGCAATAGCCTCAAGAAACGAAATGGCTGTATAGCCATCAACTTTCGTACACGAGATTTGTAATATTTCTGCATGAATGTGCAATGTTGACCAAAAACATCGTATACAAGTTCCATCAACAACATAATTCAGTTCGCTTTGGAGCTCCGTTTTTTAATCATAATAATATTTATCATCAAACGCCATCAACAGTGTAAGGCAGTGCGTTCCGATTCCCATGTTTTTCATTAACAATATTATTGATTATTACGTAATTTACGGGTCATTTCACAAAAAAGGCGATATTCCATGAAGCATAAGTTTAAAAACGACGGACCGAGTTAATTTGAGTCGGAAAATTTTTTTGCGTTGCCTTAAAGTTGAAAAAACAGGCCAAAATGTCATTACCGTAACGCGAAGCATTTAAAAATTTCATTTTTTGCGGCTTGTGGCGCCTAGTCGTTGTTTATTTCATTAAAAAAAAAATATATATCATCCAACAAATTATTTAATTTGGTCAAATGGTTAATTTCCAGACACTTGGAATTAACCGTTTTGTATTCCAGAGTACATCCAAGAACACTGTCAATTTTTGCAGCCCCAAATTTTGATTTGGCTATTTGTAGTATCGTCGCAAACACAGAACGTTTTTCCTGGTAAAATAAGCGGTCAATACCGTAACGCCCCTTATCCCGGAGGGATTTGAAATAATCGATTAGATGACTATAGCGTACAAAGGGGTAAAGAGTGTAGATTTGATAAACGAAATTTCGCTGAAAAATATCCCTTGGGGCTTCAAAATCTCAAAAAAAGAACAACTCTGTCGTTACCGTGTAACGCTCTTTTTAAAATTTTAAAATGCATTTCAATTAGCATAGGTTTTTAATAAATGATCGTAGAGTTGGGCCCAAAAGTTTCCAACTAAATTTCGACATCATATAACTTGGAAAAAATAATTTAAAAAAATCTCAATCAGGGCATGAAAATATTGCAGTATTTGTAAAATTATTCATACGCGCCGTCAACTACATAAAACCGAGTCTACGGACCCTTTGTTCACTTATTCATATCAATGTTAGTTATTAAGCTAGAGTTATAAACGACGCAAAACAGTGCACTTTGGATCTCCCGTTTTTTAGAACCAATACTTTTTTTACATCCAGATTATTGTATAGATTATTAAACAGATGCCCTTACCCACAATTTATGTCGAAATACTTCAAATCTACTATTTTTTTTCATTCATGATGATCGAAATTTGTAAAAAATACGTGCTTCAAGTTATAAAATTTAAGCACGTAGCAGCACTTGGAGCTTATTGTTTTAATATTGAAATTCCAAAAAATGTTTGGAAACTAAATTGAAAGCAATTTTTGTTTGTTTGATCAGTTTTTTGTACAAACAGAAATTGACTGATCACCACTAGCCTCAATTAAATGTCGCGCTCTGTGCATTGATTGCCGAACAATCCAATATGGTAGGCCGCAAGATCTATAGAGCGGTTGCTCTCTGTTGTGCCTACCTCTAGTATTTGTGTTACACCGAGTGCGAGAGAGATGGTGCAGGCATCATTGTCACTTGTAAACGCGTTGTCATGTAATTTGCTGTCAAGTCATTAATGGCTAATGTCATTATACCGAACCGCACATCGACACGCTTAGTAAATCATGCGTGAGGTCATGGTAAAAGCTAACAATTGTATTTTTATTATCAGCACACGTGGCGTTAACCGCGAGGTGAATCTTACGTGTGTTTTCATGGTAAAAGTTGGTAACTTTTTTCCCATCAACCGAAAAAATTTGCTTTTTCTAACTAAAATGCTTGAAATTACCAATAAAATATACAAAAAAAATTTCTTTTTGGTGTAAATATTACTCAACTGATGCAAACTAGCTGCGAGATTAGTCGGCTTCGACCTTCAAATGTTCAAGCATTTTTGGGAAGATCTATCTTCAGTGTCTATTAAGTAATTATTTTGATTTGGAAGGAACAATGTCGACTGTCCATCAAATATTGTGAAATATTGTAAAAAAAGATAATGTGGTGCATAATTTTAATTGTCCCTCAAAGATCGCGAATAACTCTATTTTCGTTCAATATAGTTGTAGATCTTAAAAAAATACAAATTTTTTTAATTTGTATGAGTTTTTTAAAACTTGTTTTATGTTCCCAAAATCGAAAAAAGTATTTCATCATAAAAAAATCAGTTCTTTTACTACACTACAAAGTTTTTTTTACTAATTGATTTCCATATTTTCGAAGCTTTGAACAGAGTAATGTTGACGAATTCAATTTTTGATGTACAGATTTATGGGAAAAATATCGCAATGCAAGATTATAATTAATATTCCGTCATTTTTATACGAACAAGATTGACCACATTTCAAGGTAGAAAAAAAAAATCGTAAGAATTTTATCTTTAACAAAATGGAGATTGCTTTAGTCCAAGCGCTCGTTAAGATAATAGACTACCACAAGTCAGTTTTTACAACCGTCACTGATAATATTAATAGTAGGTGCTTGAAATATATAGCGCGTTTTCAGCATAAGTCTAAGTATTGTTCCATTTTTATTTTTTGACATTTGAATTTATGCTTATGCTCGTTATTTGTATTATTTTTGATTACCTATTGTATATACTGTTAGATGTAAATTTTTAATGATTTTTTTCAATTGCTTGATCTATGAACTAACTCGAGTGTTGCAGTGTAACATTGTATCTGCACTTATTAACTCTTTTTAGATTTTATTAGATGATTACAACCATCATAGTTTTTAACCTTAAGGTATAAAAAAATAAGAAATAATTAACCGGATCATAATTGTGTTTACTAATCGTCAAATGGTAAAAAAAATCAGTTATAATTTTATTGAACGGAATTTTGTAGACTATTATAATAAAAGTACAACTATTCTATACAATATCTACGTGTAAAAATAAATAATTTCAATATTTTGGAGGTGTCTAACAGAGATATATGTTTTAATAATAAACCTGCAAACGATATTATCCATAATTGCGGCAGCCCGAGCCTTCGTTAAAATATGCGACCACAACTAATTAGTATTTTGATGTACAAACTCGCATCAAAGATATCACAGCTAGAGATGGTTATTAATATTTTGACATTTTTGTACGATAATGATGAACTATTTTTTAAGCGAGAGGTAGAGCAATTCTCGTATCAATTGAATGACAAACTATTCTACGGAGATTTTTTAGACCAACTGAGGTATTTGACCAAATTTCTTATGATTTGAAAAGGTGTATCTGATTAACTTTCTTTGTCAAATAGAAAGTAAAAATGACTATACGTGTGATTATTTTTTTATCATTAATAGTTAGGTAGTTACTATACTTGGTTCTCGATACTTATTTGTCAATCTGTCGCCATTTGTGACGATTGCTGAACACAATTTTTTTTGTTACTTAAATTGTTAACCAGAGTAACTTTTCAAATTGACTCGTACAATTGTTCATAGTCATTCGCTAAAAGATTTATTAAATTACTAAGAACTTTAAAAAAAAGTATTTTTCGCAAATCATTATTGGTGTTAAATTTTCTATTTCCTAGATTTAATTATGTTGCGTTTTGATATGCGTTAAAAAAATTTGCTTGATTGGATTCATAACATTAAGTTTTTTTTTACACGTTTAGACAAAGTACCATGTCTGACGTAATGGATTTTTAAAGATTATTTTGTAAGTTGTAAAATCATACCATTTATTACAAAAACTATAAATATGAACCAAAAACCTCTCTTGTAACAAAAAAATTTGTCCTCAATCACTTTGACTCTTCCATTGAAAGTGACAACTTTTACTGATATAAACAAGGTTGCTTCGGATTTTCTGATTTTTCTGCTTCTTTCTTTTCTATTTATTATCTTCATATGTGCTTTGTCTGCCAATAATAACATTAAAGTACTATTCTTGACATATTGTATACGTTTGATATTTTTTATTGACTAAATGTACGTCAAAGTAAAAAAACTATGACTTTGAGCGATCTAATTTCTATCGTGCCTATTTTTAAGGTCCCTATGTCACTTATAAAATAAACATTTATGTATTCGTTACGTGAAGTTCTATATGGCGTATTATCCGAGGATAAGGCCATGATTTGATTTTTGTTACGTCTTTGCAAACTTAAAATCTGTACATTACAATGATGATGTTGCTTACGGTACTTCTACAAGACCCTTACGGAAATTGCGACCACTAAAAGAATATATAAAATATAAGTTGGTAACTTTTTTCCCATCANTATATATATATAAATTATATTGAAAATAGTACACGTGCAACGTAAATTAAAAACATACAAATATTCCTAAATAGTTCAAGATAATATATAATTCCATATTATCTTTTAATATAATAAAACTTGAACGTTTCGGTACCTCTATTCGATAAATTTGTGTTTGA